ATAAATGAATTTAGCTATATTTAACATGTTTGGAAGAAAAACTATTGCAAAATGTAATATTAATATTTGTTTTTGTATATTATTGTTATTGTTATATTTTGATGCTAAGGAATGATAAAAGTGGAAATTATACGATCCCATATTTTTATGATAATACAAATAACTATTTTTATTATAATACAAAATAAATTATTTGTAAAATAAATAATTTTATAATTTTATTATAGGAGTTAATTAAATTTTAAAAAATAATTATAAATTTAAAAGATAAAATAAAAAAACAATTTATATTAATAAAGATAAAAATATTAAGAAAATGTATATGTCAAAAAACTATAAAGCGATTATAAAACCAATTCTTTTTATTAATATATATAGATATTTGAATTTATTAATATTATTAAAATAGGACTAAAGAGTTATTTGTTCAATTTACCAACTTATTTTATTAGTTTAACGTCAATACATATTTACTCTCTTCTTTCCTTATCCTCTCTATGTTTCCTTCTCATTTTTTTTCTATCTATTAAAAACCTTTCTCCTATTTCCTAATTTGTAAGTTTAGACTCTTACAAATTGTTTCACATAGACTATTTTTTGAGATTGTAAAGTTCAACTACACAAAACAGTTAATCTAACATGTAAATAGTAATTTCTATTAGCAAAGGTTCTTGTTGCATTATTCTACTCTTGTTGCATAAAGGATATACAATTTAATTGAATTTGGAGATACAATATATACGATCGTATCATGTTAAAAGATGTATGTTAGAAGTATAAGTAATATATAGTTTTTTTAAATTGATAAAATAGATATTATGTAAAAGGATTTTTTATTTTACTGTTTTAAAAACACATGGACAATGTGTGTAGGGTTAAGTTGAAAATTAAATAAAACAAGAAAAAATTTAAAAGATGTCAGTATAATTTAATATAAAATTAAAATCTTGGAACAATGTTACATTAACTCGGTATTAATATTCAGTCAAGACACAAAGAAAAGATCAGAAAATTCCTGGCAGCGTCTTGATATCTCACCATAACCTTTAGTTGCTTTCTTGCTTTCAATGGTGCACACTGCAGAAAGTGGAACGTTAGTAACATTCATTCACTAAGGTTCATTTCGGAAAATCTTACTTCAAATCTTGTTTAAATGATTTGTCATTTAACACCTTTTCCAGGTCTGGTCGGGTTAAAGGCCGACGATCAAGATCAGGTTCATGGAAACGCCGTTCCAGGTGTAGCTTTGCAGAAACTAACTTCTTATCTCATGAATCTGTTATCGTACATTAGATATGCACAAGCATGAAAGATAAGAGTTATAATATGATAACATAGCATGTCAAATCCAAACACGTTCTTTACAGTGATGGTAGGTTTGTTCCTTCTATAGGAGTCAAGATTCTCCTGACTGGAGGAATCCTGGAAATAATTTGTTTGTTAATTTCCTGCCCTGGTGGACAACTGAGAGTGATCTTCAGCAGCTTTTCAGTACACAGGGAGAGGTATGTATGAATTTACTATATGTTAGTCATGATTTCAATTTCATTCCTTTATGATTTGATGATGTGTATAGCATTCAGTCTTCTCACAGCATGCATTCTATTGCAGAGGCTTTATAAAAAAAAAGAAAAAAGAAGAAGAAAAGTAATCAAAATTAGCTCATCCATAATTTAAAATCAATTTTTTTAATTAACTTCACAATTTTAGCTTATTAGGAAAGTAGATTACAACTTATACATACATACATACATACATATATACATATATATATATATATATATATATATATATATATAT